TACCTTGCAATTTATTCATAAGTGTTTTGGCAGCTAAAACACTAGTAATGCATTATAAGCCATGGCATGCTCCTACTTTATCTTACTTAAAGTGAAACAAATTGTGATCATTACTAAGGGAGCAGTTCTATTTTTCAAGGAACAGCATAAATTTAGTTTGATTTGTTTACCAAAGGATGTAACTCACTAAAAGCCTGCTGAATTTTGTCAAACTAAGCTTCAAATCAGTCATTACTGATGATGAAGTAGGTTTATAAAATTCTATACTGTAGATAGTATAGAAGTCAGTATATACTGAAATACTGTAGGTATGAGAGTTGCCTATTGCCTGAGCAATATTTACATAGAGGGAGAAAAGCAGAGGGCCCAGTATAGAACTTTGAGGGTCTCCCTTAATAACTGGAAGTGTCAATGAAACAAATCTGTCAGATTTTATGCATTGTATACAGTTTAATAAGTAATTCTGGAACCATATGAGGGAGTTTATGTTGAGACCCATATAATGTAGCCTTTTAGAAGTCAAAAGGTAAAAAGCCTTAGATAAATATATTAAGATAGCTATATACAGTAAATGTGAGTTTTGTCAAGAGTCATTATTATATAATTGCGACATTTTAAGACTTCTCTGATACATTCATGCCAGTCCGAAAAGCAAATGACTATACATACAGTACCAGATAAAATATAATCGCTCAATAAAAAATAACTTAACAGCTTGTTAAGTTAATACGTTTTTCTATGATCTTCTAAAGGTCATATAAAATAGATATACTGCAGGTCTATAGCAGGTTCTACCTTGTCCCCCATGATTCCGAAGAAGCAAAACAAAAGCAGATTTCCAGAGCTAGGATTTGAGTGGTTGATTGGATGAAACAAATTGTTAAAAAAAACTGTAACAAAAACTCTGTTCTGTCTTTTTTACTATCATTGCAATTAGGTTTATTTTCATATGATCGGTCTGTACAAAGTATGCTTTTTTTCCCTTCAGTACCATTCCAGTGCAAGACAGTAGGGGGAGTGTGAGGGAGGGTCATGTTGAGAATGCAAGCCGGCAAATGTGACAGTGTGAGTAGATGAAGTGGTAGGAGAGAGTAAGGTTGTAACAGAGAAAGACACAATGAAGGACAGTGAGGCAGTGGGTGACGGGGAGCCTGCGCTTACTGTCTGCTACCTGACAGGATAGCAGTAGTGGTTGTGTGCTGGGCAGGCTTGCTGTCTGCTGACAGTAAGCTGTTCTTTGTGATCTGCCAGATGAATTGATGGTTCTTAAAATGAGATCATCTTTCTGAAGCAGGAGCAGTATCCCCCAGAGAACTTCCAGGGCCTCTGTAGTATTGTGTGAGGCAGCTAGGGAGCATGACTATTGTGCTATCCTGTCACGGCAGGTTGACTTAGATATTTCTGCAAGTAGTAGCTCTCTGCTTCAGTGAAACTGACAAAGGGAGTTTTAAACTGTTATTCCCTATGAAGACAAGAGTTCATAGATAAATCTAATACTGTAAGTTTCATACCTGAAGTATAAGACAGGTATTTACTCAAGGTATACAAAGGAAATGAGATACAACTCCTTTGTTACTATTTGTTGATCAATCAAGGAGACCAGGTAATGGATATTCACAACATAGCCTAAAGGCTAAACAACAGACCAATAAAGTTATCTTTATATCTTGTATTTTCAGACAAACCTGTATCACAGTCTGATCCAAACCAAACTCTCATTCAAAGCTGCCACTAAATATCTACAGTATAGTATAGATTACTATATGGAATAATCTGGTAAAATACCAGTCATAGGTTCTTTGTTGACTAATGGGTATGATGATTTTTTAAAAATTGAAACAGAATCAAGGCAATCCTCTCTTTCTTTACATGCTCCTCATCATCGACTTCACTAGGATTGTTAGTCAGACAACTTCACAACTTTGCCATAACCTACTGTATAGATACAAGAAAACAAACACGCAGCCCAAGAAACTTTCAAAACAAGTCAGGGATAAACTAGCAGAAAAGGACAGATCAGACTTCAACTTGCTTCAGACTTGCTGATCATAATTCACCCAGACACTACTTCTGGATGAATGGATTCTTCTATTTAAACCTAAACCTCTTAGCAAGCAGAAAACTGGTTGAAGATGCCACCGCGACATCAACAGTGATTTTCAAGGTCTGCAAAGTTCTGTTTCTGAAAAAAAGGATGTTATATAAGCCTGGCCTGTATAGGTGAGTAAGAAAAAATAAAACAGGAAAAGGAAAGTGTGACAAAGAATGTAAACAATACAATAAATGTAGAAAAAACTTTGTTTTTTTTGGTCTAAATGCAAAGCATCAAATCTGGCACCACTCCAGCTGTCAGGCATGCTGGTAGAAATACCATGTAATGGGGATGTTTCACACTGAAAATAACTGGAAAGTTTGTCAGGAATGAGAAAAATCCCAGAGGAAAACTCGCTTGTTTCAGCTAAACATCTAAAACTCACTTTAAATTTGGTAGGACAATGATCTTGAGCACAATGCCAAAGCCACACAGGAGTGAAATGACAAGAAGACTGAGTGGCCCAGCCAGTGTCCTGACAAAAGAACATTTATGGTAAGACTGCAGTCTATCAGCAATCCCCAACAAACGTGGAGCAATATTGACAAGAAGAATTTGCCAAAATTAAACCATTCTATTATGCAAAGCTAGTAGATCAATTAAAAAAATACATTTACAATACAGTAAATGCTGTCAAAGGCTCGTTCAGTAAGTACTGACTTTGGATGGAAAACTCATGTCATCAGGAAATTTCATATTGTATATTTAGTTTGTAGATTTTGCTGACAATTTCCTTCAATTGTAACAGTGTTTAGTTTGATCAATATAGTTTGTTTAAAAAACAATTGAGAAAGAGTATGTATAGATTCATTGCAAATGACTAAAATGTGACGCTGTCGGTAGGGGGCAAAAGTTAACATTTGTACTGTATGTTGGACAATCCATATATTTGAGACAGTTTTCCACTTGTTATTGCAAGATTTCAATTTAAAAGGGCACGTACATACCAAGAAGAGAAAACCTACTATAATGATCATTGGAGCATATATCCCGTGACTGTCCCAGTTCAGAGCTTAAAGATTTTCCTAGGTTTCTAGTGGCAAATTAAATGTGTATTCATGCAGCATATTTATAGTATTGCCAGCACTGTGACACAAAAAGAGATTACAAAATGATTGATAGATAGATACAAAGAGAAAAATTGCCTGAGTTCTAAGTGTACTGTAGTTAAGAAGATGATTAAGAACTCTTCTTTCGAACCCCGTGGAAATAGAAGGATTCTGAAATAAAAAAAACCTTTGTAATGGTAATTCAGAACACAGCAACTTAGCATACATACAAAGATTAATTATGTCTCACATAATGATCACAAAACAATAGTTGTGGGGGATTTATCAATAAATACATATGCAATTTGATTAGTTAATGGATAAATGCAATGTTCTCAATGTTAATGCTAGAGAGACGCCCACTATTTGGGTCAATTAGCTTTAGAAACTGTAATCTTGTTTGTTGAAAGTCCTCCTACCTTTGTGTCAAATAGATTTTACCTTTAATCTTCATAGTTCAGGACATTTTTTTTTTCTGGGAAGGGGTGGGATCTTCTTTTTTTCTGTTATTGTTTTAATTTATTTTGAAGTTAATATATTCTTTTCGTTACTTTCTTTATTAATGTCAATGCAGACAGAAGGGCTGCCTCCTACCTTGCACTCTTGCCCTTATCTCTGCAGTACATCAGACAATCCACAGCTCTGTCTAATTAGTAACAAGCCCCTTTATTAGGAGTGGGCAGCAGGGCCACAGCTGCACTACCAAGAGACACTTCAAAGATGAAAGCAGGCAATTCAGTGTAGGCGGTGTGGTGGGAAGCAGGATCAGGCAGGGCTGGGCAGACAGGGTAAGACCTGAGACAATCCTCATCTATCCAGCTGTCTGACCACAGTGCAGCTCCAACATCAGGTGCAGGAGTTCTATTCCCTAGGAGAGCTGCAAAGATTTAAGACATGTTGAATACATCTCTGCTGAATGTAAAAAATAAACCCTTCAAGGCCACATGGCCTGGTTGTCCAGTATTTGGCAAGAATGCTGGTACGGTGATGCAAAGGCTTTTTGGAAGTGCTTTTAAAACAGAACAGAAGGCACTTTTTTACACAAAGTGTTGTGGGAGTATGGAACAAGCTCCCCAGCCATTGCTGAAGCTGATGCCCCCATTTCTTTCAAGAAACTATCAAAAGGGTTAGAAGGACCAAAAGACCTTTTTTGTTTGTGTCCTTTCTTTTGTCCTTGTGTTTAAAACAACTTCTGTTTCAATTTCAGTATAATTATATTGCTCAAGAAGAGCAACACAAATCCCCCATCTTAACAGCAACTACTGAGGGCAATCCTGTGAGGACTACAAATACAGGACACAAAAAAGAATTGTCACCCCTCACATGTAAACCATTGACAATATCACCTAATAAGCAAAATTAGGCCAACAGCAGAACATTGATCAGTCCGTAATCAAGTAATCCAACTTGAATTAACATGAAATGCTCAGTATTAACTATTCTGTGGTTTACATTTAGACATCAAGTAGAACTTATCCTGGATGAGATCTAGCAATGTTATGAAAATGGATATGGGCCATTTCACAAAGGAGTTTTTGTTTTCTTTTTGCTTCTTTTGAAGAAATTGCACTGTACTCACCTGGATGAAGATAAAGCTCTTCAAACTCAGTTCTTTTATTCTTTCTTCCAAGGTTTTGCTGCGGCAATGATACAAAACGTGTGATTAAATAAAAGTTCTACAAAGAGCACTGTGGTCACATGTTCCTCCAGACAGGCATTGGGATTGCAAAGCAGGAGCCCACACAGCACACAGACACAAAACCTTTTAGACAAGGAAAGGTGACAGGTTTACTGCATTATGTTAATTATTGTGAGTGATTTAATTATTTCCTTAATTATTTCTGTGTGTGGGTGTGCAGAGTCCCCAGACACCCTTTGCAAAGCTGTGTGATGAGGAACCTGTGTTCGGTGCGCCAGAGGCCCAGGAGGGAGAGGGGCTAGCCATCCTGTCGGAGATTAGCGAGGAGGATGTGGAGGCCCTCAGGCTGAGGGAGGAGGCGTTGCTACAGATAGAGGTACGGCCTGTCAACTACCACAACTTTACAAGTTCATGCTCAGCGTTTTTAAATTTAAAATTTGAATTTTAAACAAACACTTATTTTAAAATGGCATAAACCTAATCAGTGAGTAAAACATGCACAGGAAAATAATCCAGAGGACCTTCCATTCTCTGCAAGCTGAGAAGTGGAATTCTACAATGTTCTGTTTCTGGATCATGGCTCTTTATAATATACTTTAACTATTATTATTATTATTATTATTATTATTATTATTATTATTATTATTATTATTATACACTGATTTGAAAATAGAGCCATTTTTGTGGTTTGATAGGCAATAAGGTCAGGATCATATCCCAGCAGGAATGAACTACAGTACATTCATCACATACACTCACACACTGGATTCAATTCAGCGACACCTGTTATAATGTGGACTGGATGTCTTTGGACTGCAGGAGAAAACCAGAGTTCCAAGAGAAAGCAAACAGTCTATGCATTTGTATTTCATTATAGATATGAACTAATAAGGTATTACTTAAAAGTGCTCTAAGAAACTCATTTAAATTTATTAGAATTAGTATTGTACAATATTTGTTCACAGAGACAACATTTTACAAGGGAAGAGTCCGTTTCAGTACAAAGAAGGAACTTACAAAAGTTACCAAACAGAATGTGGATTTGTAGAGGAGAGGTGAAAAGGACTTTTAAACTTTGAAAACCTTTTTCACCAGTAGAATACTCTCTCCCTTTCAGTAATTTTAACCAAAATTACAGTATAACAAAATTCCAGTTTAGTTATGGTTCAGTTTGGATATCAATGTCACGTCCTGTCCCTAGTTTCCTGTGCTTTGATGTCCTTCTGGTGTCTCTCTGTCTGGGGATATATATTTCCGGGTCCTTCATTCCCCTTCGCTCAGCATTGATGTTCAGATGTCCTGTGACCTGCCTAGCACCAGGTCGCCCCATGTCCGCTGCCTGAGGGCATAGTTTTCTATACGACTCCTGAACAGCTGAGCCCGGGTTAACCCCCATCCCACCATTACGTATAGGGTCTTTATGTTCAAACCAGACCCACTAGTGTATTGGTTTAATAGAAAATTTTCAACAGTGTCTGACAGCAGTAACCATGTTGACCCCCCCCTTCTCCTCTGGTCTGAATCACAGTTCTGTGGAGCTGTGCAGCTCTCTCCCTAAGGAATCTACAGCACTAAACTCTGTTATCCATGAAACACTATCAGCCTTTTTCTGAACCCCGATCTGTGTTAACGGAATATTGCAGGCACACAGGCAATTTATTTTATTTTCTGTTTAAATAATACAGTCGTAAAACATTTTAAAATTTGGGAAAAGGGTGGGGTTATAAACAGTTTTTGAAGTAAACACAGGAATCAAACAGGGATAGCTATTTTACTGGTCAGGTTAAGGCGATACTGTATATGATAGAAGACTCAGTGGAATTTGAATTCATAAGAAAGGAAAAATATATTTCACTTACAGTATCAATTGAAGTATTGTACCAAGTATGCCCCAAGAATAACTGCTCCTGAAGTATCTTATCATACAGTACCATTAGTGGGGGCACATAGCTGGGGAAAAAAATCTAAAAACTGCAAGGTATACTGTAGATGGACAAAAACTAAACCTGCTATTTCCACCTTTATTGTGAAATAACAGAGATATGATTATGCACAAGATACAGAAAATATACAGCTTTAGAAATACCTAAACAGTCACATTACATTATGCCAGGTATGTGTAGTGCATTTACTGTACTGTACACTATATATTTGTCTTCATTCCATTCCAGTTTGCAGATTTAATTAGCTAGAGTACAGTGTTGGCCACTAATAATTCACATACCTACACCTCTTAAAACTAGAGCCCCACCCATGCCACTAAAAAAACAGACAATTGTGCTTATGGTTTAAATGCCCTGTTTGCAAACTTGTGCTACATACAGTTGTTTTGTGCCTGTACATGTCCATTAATGCAATGTGTGCTTTTTCCCTTACCTACTTCCTCTCTGCCGGTGATGTTCGCCGTGACGCTGACAATGAAATCCGAAATCAGGTGAGTGGAGCTTTTGTTTGTGATTGTGTAGACAGTATATGTTTTGGTTATGTCTCTTCAATGTGATTTCATCATCTTCAGGAACAATTTTGTTAAAATATTGTGCTTTTTGATGCATTGTTGTCCTGGGTTAATTTGATTGAACATTTGAATTCATTTGTGCCGTAACTATCCATCATTGCATTTTCTCATCGTGATAGTCATCATCATTTTCTAACCGCTTACTCCTGGTGTGAGTTTCGCTGTGGTAACAGTCTGAGCAGAGCAGGCCAGAATTCCCTTTCCCCAGCAACAGTCCGCAGCTCCTCCTGACTCTCAGTACTTCCCGGCATTCCCAGGCAAACTGAGAAACATACTGTAATATCTCCAGTGTGTCCTGGGTCTGCCCTGGGGTTTTCATCCCAGTGGGCTGTGCCCAGTACATCTCCAGTGGGAGGTGCCCGAGGGGCATCTTCAGCAAATGCCTGAGCCACCTCGATTGGCTCTTCTCGATCTGGAGGAGCAGTGACTCAACTCCAATGTCCCCTGGAACCATCAAGCTCCTCAGCTATCACAGAGATTACTTACAATTTCTTAATTGTAGAAAAAACCTTCAACCACAACATAATTACCATTTTTTCTAGCAATTAAAATTTGTACAGCTTAAAGCATATTCTATACTACATGCAGTATGTGTACTATATGTATTGTAACCATTATTGATATTTTCATCAATACACAAAATAATTTATGTGTTCCTGGCTGAATTTTAATAATAGGAAGGAGCCTCAAAAATTCCTTCTTTGCCTGAAAAGGATTGCAAAAATATAGTTTTTGCTTTTATGGTAAAAGCTTCACCAGGTACAGTAAAGCACAAACAATATTTTTTTCATTTTAGTTGAAGTGATTTTCATCCATTCTCCTGTGCTGTAGCTTTCTACAGAAATTTAGAATCACAACTAATCTGTGACTTTTTTGTAAGTTTTGTAAGCTGTTACATCTTCCCTGGATGGTCCAAATGTCACCTGACATGTTATGGAAATTGAATTTCCTGACATGGAAATTCTGAAAAAAAGGTCTAAATTGTTGTCCAACAGCTGGTCTCTGCCCAGAGCCTTATTTGGGATTTATTTTTTCTCTAATATAATCAGAGTCTTTGTCATGTCTATTAATAGTTGGTATAGCCGCAGCTAGGCTAATAATTTGCTGATAAAAAAATACTGTTTGAAATATTTTGTGGGTTAATTAAAGAATTTGGGATGGTTCATGCATTCTCAGTAATGTTTACTCTGGGATGTTGAACACCAGACTCCATTGATCAGGAACTATTAAGGTTATGTAACCTGTGAGAGCAATAATATTGCTCTGCTGTTTGAGAACATGGGTTCATGGCTGTGTAGGTGAGTTTGGTGTCCTCAAGCATTGTCAGCAGAAGAAAATTGAATTGTATGAATTTTCATTGCCTTGCATTTAGCTATATAAGAGGATGCTATTTTTCACTGTTTTGAGCATGGGTAAAAGTATGTTTTCATTGTGTATTTCACATCTATCACTGTAGACATTTCCGATATCTTTATGAGATGTCAGTGTGTGTGAGACAGACAGAGTATTTGTGAGACTGTCTGTTGTTCTGCATGCTTGAGTGTGTCTGCGGTTTAGCTGCTCAAACATCCTGGTATAAAAAAGCCTTTCAACCGGCTGTGAATTGATGGGCCTCATTATGCCTCAGTAATTTAGCTGAAACCATTTCTCCGAGGCAGGATGGTTTTAAAAGCTCTGTATGTGAATGGATGCTGGCAAAAACAATGTTATTACTTGCTGATCCAACTTTATTTATGGCTGCTGCGTGCTTGTATATCAACAAACGGCCATTCAGTTACAACTGGAAGGAAAATATTTTATATTATAAACCGTTTATTCAGTCAGAGCCATCTAACACTTTAGCTATTTCTCTACAGTGCTTGAAAATGTCATCTCTATTCAGCTGTAGGCATGTGTGACAATCTGCTTAGCGGTTCAGAACTGCAGCAGTGTGCTGTTCTCCACAGTCATGGAAAGATGGGGTTGGGGGACAGGCAGAAACCTCTAAGGTCTCCTGGTTTATACAGTATATACTGTACTTGGAAAAATGATAGCAGAACCAGGCATCTTGATTTTCAGTTTATGATTTTCAGCTATCTTAAAGTCATTTGGGCTTTCCTGGAAGGAAACATTACACTCTAACTGTTAGTTGTCTGCTCAGATTGTGTGTTGACAAAAGCTTCTATGGTCATAATAACAACAAGGGAAAAAGTAAATTCAATCAATGATAATATAGTATTTATTTAAAATTGCAAATCGTAGTGTGTTCAGTGCTATGGAAGAGTAAAAGAATGGGCATGATTCAGCATCCACCACATACAGTATTAATTGCAAAGGAACAGGTAAAGGTTTATTCCATGCTGAAAAGGAAAGAAGAGACACAATGTTTCAACAGTGGAGGTGTGAAGTCAAAACCTGCAAATAAATAGAGAGGATTAGTAGGAAATGAGTCTGTTGTTAAGAGAAGGAGAAGAGAAGAGAAGGTGAAGGTGTGATCCTTTAACTAGTTTCAAGATAATTTTCTGCAATAGAAGTTCTGAGACCCCTTTGTGAAGATGTAGACAATGGGTATGATCGTGGCCGTAAGAGGTGAAATGGGACACTAAGAGTTTGGAGAGATCTTTGACCCTCACAGGCCTGACATGTTCCCTGAAATGGCCTCCCAGTCTCCTTCCTGTCTCACCCATGTAAGTAGCTGGGCATTTTCTGCTAGAGATGCAGTAAATAAGGTTTCTGTAAACACATGATTTCATCTGAATGATATGTCCAGAGGGGCATTGAATGTGTAAGGTATTGGAAATATATTGATAGGTGATGCAGCGAGTTCTATTGCAGGGGAAACTACCTGGTATGGATCATTGTTGTGGGTGGTCAAGGGAGCT